TAGTAAATGTATCAAGTCAATTGTCCAATGCTGAAAATCACTAATACTATGTTGTTAGAGGACCAGGTCTCCCTGACGCTCTGAGCAAGTTATGAAAATGGGGTCGAACCAACACTAGGACTGTGCTAGTGTTCTTGATGCTGATGATGACGTGGACAAGATTGAGATTGCAGGTTTTTTAAAAATTCTCACACGATTAATATGTTTCTTTTTATTAATTGATCAGTTTCGTTAAGTACTCATATGCTTCTTTCTACATGCGATTTGCGAGAGTTGCAGCTCGCTTTTATGAGTAACATTGTCAATCACACTGACAATCAGGAATTACCTATTTACAATTACGAAAGAGTCTTATTTCTTGAAATGAATAACTAATAAAAGCCGATTGCTGTACATGACAAGAACCTCGGTCGTCCAGGCTGCCATGAATATGCATCTTTGTGTTCATTTGCATGTGTTTGTGTACGTGTGTTCATGTGTTGATGTGTTAATGTGAATTGTTCCATCTCCTTAAGTGTGAATGTGCTTCGGCTTCGGCGTCTTGGAGTTGGCGCGAAATTTCAATTTGCACTCGAGTCTTGCGGCCGGAAGGGGTGTCATGTTTATCTTTTCGGTGTGAATAGACAATTTCTTGTCTGCAATCTGCATACAAGGAATCGTACCGATTGAACTCGTGACCAAGTACGCCATGCCCTTCTGCGTATGATCTGTTATCAACTTCACCGAGTCGGTCTGCTCATCTTGCCTCGCCTCTCCTCCCCAGGCAGCAACCATTTGTCTCGCTGCCGTCCAAATTATGGCTCTCTTAGTCACTCGATCTTCCGCCCCCTTTCCACTCTTGGTCTAGTTTCTCTCTAGACTCACCGACAATTGAGCCGCTTTTTCAAGATCAGCTACTCTCAGCTTGTCTCTGCCTGCCCGATACGCTTTCTCCTTTCTTGTAATGATCGCTCACTCTGCATATCTGATTGCTTAATGAAGTTACCTCGCCTCGATTCCCGTTACGTCCCCTCCCAACCTACATCCCGTCCTCTTGTCAACCACCGCATCCTGGCATGTCTTCTCTCCTGCATACAGCGATTGTGTCATTTTGTCCGTCCACTGCAGCCAATTCTCTGCATCAAATTGCTCCACTAGATCGCCGTCTTTTGCATCATCGAATTAAGTCACCACGGGGCAATTCGGCCTGATTATATCATGTACATCTCACATGCTTACTCTCGCGTACATCCTCACGGTGTCCACACGAGCCAAATGGCCTATTGGTCAGGTCAGATTGTGCGTCTATTGCAGCCATACCATGGCATT